TTGCGCATCGCCGAACCTGGCCTTGGGGCGGCAGGGAGAGTAAATCCGGCTCTGCTCTTAGCATCTAATCAACGTATTTATGGGGACTAAATGGGCGAGAGATGTTAAAATGGCATGCTGAAGCAAATACACATTTTTTGTTTTATGACTTTAGTGACGCTTTAAACACATAAGCAGATAGCCCCTAAAAGTGTCCATATCCTAAATACAGTATTAATATTAAAGGAATGGGGACTTCATAAAATGCTATCATTCTAGCAAAGCTCCTCAAGATATAATAACATTAAAGCGGACCTTTACACTCTAAAATCTAATTCTACCAATGCATCCCTCTATGTATGATGATTAATAATAACATAGACATGTCAGGTGTAAAATGCTGTGATTGTGAAATACTAACACTTGCAGAACATTCACTTCCTGCCTTGAAAGGGCAAAATGACCAGTTTGGCAAACCAATGCACACTGGCATTGCCTTGTCATTAGCAGAGCATTGCTGGGAAATCTCATCTCAGGGAAAGGCATTTTCCTCCCCTGAGATGATGTGCATGGTCACATGTCCTAGTCACATGTCTAGTCACATGTGCCAGAAATCCAGGAGGAAAATGGAGAGCTAGTAATCTGCCCTTAGTAAACATGGCCACTGCCAGAAGACTGGGGAAGAAAAGAGAAATAAGGTATGTAAAGAATACAAAGTCGGCAATTATCGAGAAGTATGTGTTTGTAGATTGTCATTACTAAACATTTCTAAAGGTGTCTTTGTTGTTATTATAAAGATATGGGTAAAGGTCCACTTTAATGTGCCCCAGTGATAGGCTCTGTTCACACTATGGCGTTTTGTCACGCGTATTTGTGCGCGCTGAAACGCACAGCACAAATAATACCATGTATTCCTATAGCCCCCATTCACACCTAGTCGAGTCGCGCATAAAAAAAAAACAACTGTTGCCAGAAAAAGTGCATGAGCTTTTTTCTGGCAAGATCAGCACGATTTGTCCCCATAGACTCAATAGAAAATGCTCCGAAACACGCAACAAAATTATTTTGCGAGGTTTTTGCTCTCGTTTTCCGCATGTTTTCCATTTATATCAGTATGTCACAGATCTGCTTAGAAAAACGTGCGACTTAGTATATACGGAAACGGGTGCAAAAATGCGCAAAAAAAATCTGCACTGAAGCGCTGTTGCCTTTGTGTGAACGAGGGCACAACTCATAGAATGATTCAAGCCAATTGACGAATAACCATTGTTACATTATATTAAAGGAGAACTATGAGGTGAGTGCTTTTCACTCACCTCATAGTTCTAGCCGACCTGTGACAATGAGACTGTCACAGGTCGGCTCAGTAGATCGGGAGGTGAGCAAACACATACCAGCATTCGCTCACCTCTCGATCCTGTCACGGCTCTCTGCCGTGACAGGGGAGGGGCTGGATTCCCCCCTCCCCGATCCGCCAGCGCTGACTGGCGGAACGGACGGGGGAGGGGGCGGGTACAGCTGGCTCTGCCTCTAGATAGGCAGAGCCAGCTGTCAGTCACGCAGCTGGGCGGATCCCGGCACAATTGTCGGGATCCGCTTCTGCTGCGGCGTCTCAGTATACCGCAAGCAGCAGCTCGCGGTATACTGAGCCTAGGGTGACGGGAGGACGCTAGTTTGTGTCCTCCCGTTACCCTAAGGAGAACTATGGGGAAAAGACTTAACCCCATAGTTCTCCTTTAAGCACCTGTAGAGTGGATTGTAGGTAAACTCACAGCTACCAAGATTATACAGCACAAAACATCAGCCCCTATTGTTAAAACTGATTTGGTATGTTACAGACAGCATTGAGTAAAATTACACATTAGAGCAGGGGTGGGTAACTCTGGCCCTCCAGCTGTTGTGGAACTACAAGTCCCCTGAGGCATTGTAAGTCTGACAGTTACAGGCATGACTCCCAGAGGGAGAGGCACATTGGGATTTGTAGTTAAAGCACAGCTGGAGGGCTGGAGTTGCCCAACCCTGCATTAGGTATACTGTTAAAAATGGCAGACATCAATTTCTGTGACATTACCTCTTAACGCTTAGCAGCATCCCGCACACATGCTTAATGTTGGTGGCTACTCGGTGAAACCTCCGGCACTCTTTCTGTATAGATGAATTCATTAAACTTAGATGGAATTAGAGCACAATGAGCATTACAAAAAAAAAACAAAGAGTAACTGCTACCTTATCATTAGCGAGCTGAATGCCAGTCATACTGCTGCCTGCACACCTCCCCGGGACAACACTGAGTTGCTAGCAAGGTTGAATGGAGGAGGAGACATGTTTCCCTACTTCACCGAGCCTATGGTATGCGTAGCCTGGGTGATACTGCTGGTTACATGATCACTGTGTCCATACATGCAGCTTTAATTCAAAGACAAAAGAGCAAAAATAAGGAGCTGCTGCCCATTATAATCAATCAGGTTCTATGTTTAAAGAGACACTTCAATCAAAGATGAACAGTTTAAGCTGAAACTGGATTCCATTCTACCTGTAGATTGCCTTTAAAGTGACACTAAACTCAAGAGTTAAAACTTAAAAATGCATTCAAGTACCCTAACCATTAACAAAAATGTATCTTATGTGTGTATCACTTGGCTGTAGATCCTCAAATCATCTCTGAATGCATGCTGACACTGTCCTTCCTTCTGGAGGAAGGCTACTTTTGTTCCCCATGGTCCCCGTGTGTGTTGTAAAGTAGCCATTACTCCAAACTCACTCCTGTGATGGACTACAGTATCAGGTTATGTTTTGTATTGTATCTTATTTGTGTTGTATCTTATTTGTATTTGTATTGTATCTTATTTGTGTATCACTCGGCTGTAGATCCTCAAATAATCTCTGAATTGGTGCTGACACTGTCTTTTCCTTCTGGAGGGTGGTTACTTTTGTTCCCCATGGTCCCTGTAGGTGTTGTAAAGTAGCCACCGCTCCTAGCTCTCTTCTGTGATGGACCATAACCTCATGTTTAGTTTAACCACTTCCCGTCCGCCGAACGTAGCAAAACGACCGGACAAGAGTCTTGTAGATGCGGGTGGGTGTCTCAAAACGTCCTTTGTGCCCACTCCTGCTCATGTGCGCCAACGGGCGCGCACAAGCGGGAAGCTGTCAAGATTTGAAACAGCTAACGATGGCTGTTTACATAGAAGTGATCCAGCGTCTGTAGAGACGCCCGATTGCTTGTATGTTGTGCCTTTGTGCGCTACCCTCATCCACCACTGCCGTTGCCGCGATCCCAGGTTCCCTGTGCTCCATGCCTGGGACTGGAACTGGTTCTGTGCAGAGAGAACGGAGGGAGGTCAGTACACAATCTCACTCTGATCTCCCCTCTGGTGTTGTGAGTGCGGAAGTGATGTTTATTACATCAATTCTGCATTCAGCTGTCACTTTCTGGCTACAGAAGCCGGAGAGAAGCTGGTGAAGCTTTTCTCTGCTTCATCAGCTTCTTTGAGGGTCCCAAGGTGACAGTAGGGTCTTAGAGACCCCTGATGTCTCCATAAAGAGGCCTTATCACTGTAATTTGATATCACATAAGGGGATTCTTAGCTCCTATGTAATAACAATAAAGTTGTGTAAAAAAAGAAAAAAAAAGTAATAAAAAAAACAAACTCCCACAAAAAAAAAACATGCGTTGGGTACGCCTACGTGCGAAAACGACGATTGCGCCCAATACGCCACACATGCTACATATCATCGCGAATGTCAGAGCGTGATCAATAATTTTAGGGCCATCAATCACTGTTAACACTACATTGATGAGCGGTAAAAGCTTTTGGTTGTGGTAGATTTTTGCTATTTTGCAGGCTTGCGTAATTTTAATGCTTAAAGTTCTTGATGTCTATTTAACCGACATGACCCCGTCATTTGATATTTTACCAAAAAATGTGAATAATAATATATGTTTCATAATATAACGTAGGTCAAACAGTTTTCTTTTTTTAATTTTCGGTACTTTTTTCGTTATATAGTAAAAAAAATAAAAACCCGCAGTGGTGATTAAATACCACCAAAAGAAAGCCCTGTGTCCCCAAAACATTATATAAAATTTTTATTTCAGGACAGCGTTGCATGATTTAATAAATGTCAGTCAAAGTACTGCAGCGCTGAATACTGAAAAATGGCCCGGACAGGAAGGGAGTGTAAACATATCCGTCTTCAAGTGGTTAATAATTTGTAGGGATACACTGAAATAAAATGTTGAGACCAAAACTGAAACCGAAAATAAAAAAATTGTCAGGCCAAAACCAAAAATTACTTTTTTTTTTCCAACCTTTTTAAAAAAAATTGTATTATTTTTTTAATTATATTATTTTTCTTTTAATTAACTTTTTTTTTTCTTTACTGTTAGGGGCTCTAGGGAAATTTTGGGGGTCTAAAAAGACCCCTTATATTTTCCTTTTAAAATAGAAAAAGAGATGGGGAGGGCACAGAGTCCTCAATCTCTTTTTCTGCAGCCCGTGTTATGAATGAACAGGAAGTCCCAATACTGAGGGGTCTATTCACTAAGCTGCCTAAGGATCTAGCCGTAGCTTCGGCTGATCCTTCAATTTTATTTTGACATTGGAGCCGTCGGCTGCCTTCAGAATAAAAAAATCACCATAGGAATGCATAGCTAGATTCCTATTGGCTATTTCAATTTGCAATAGCCAATAGCAAACTAGCTATTGCACCCGCCCACTGCTGCTGTCAATCAGCAGAGGGGGACCTGCAGTTCTTCATCATGTCCCCCTCTGGTGATTGACAGCAGCAGAGGGTGGGTGCAATAGCTAGTTTGCTATTGGCTATTGCAAAGTGAAATAGCCAATAGGAATCTAGCTATGCATTCCTATAGTGATTTTTTAAAATGTTTTAATTTTTTTATTCTGACGGCAGTAGAACCGCCCGGCCAATAGAAAACCGTTGGGCGGAGCTAGCTGTCACTGCTAGCTCCGCCCAATTATTTTCTATTTGATTTTTTAACTGTTTTTCTATTCTGCTCGGTACCACAGCGGCATTCGGCTATTCACTCACTGCTGTTCGGCATCTATGAGAATAGGCCGAACAGCAGCAAGTAGCCTGCCGGAGGTTCGGCTTAGCCGATCCAGATCGAACTCCTTCTGCACTTCGGGTCAACCCAAAGCCAGCCGAAGCCACCCAATGTACGGCTGATTTCAGCCGATATACGGCTGGAATCAGCCGTACCAGCATGAAGTGAATAGCCGGACAGCGTTCGGCTCACTTCGCTCCAGGTCGGTTAGTCACTCGGCTGCCTACGGCAGCTTAGTGAATAGACCCCTGAGTGTTCCTGTCTATTCATACATTGTGGATATAGTGTAAGTCACTATGTCTACAATAATGGATGCACAGGAAGGTCAAAATGTTTCGGTGCATCCCTAATAATTTGTATTGAGATTGTAGTCCAATTCAGAGATGATTTGAGGAGCTACAGCCGAGTGATACACATATAAGATAAATGTTTGCCAATAGTTGAGGTACTTAAATGCATTTAAGCGGGGGACACTCAGCTCTTAGCAACCTGGGAAATTGCCAGAAGCTTGGCGAGACACTCAAACACACCTGCTGCCCCCTCAATGAGATGCCATCTGAGGCAACCGCCTCAGGCTGCCTCATCATAGGAATGACCCTGCAGTTGAGTTTGATGGCTAATGATTATACTTACACTCACATAATTGGATTAAGGAGCCCGTCATTCATTTTACATCACAGAACCCAGCATGATCAATGAATCAACCAGCTTGTCTCTCCTCCTAGTTCAGGGTGGGTGGGATGACCTGAGACTGATGTATCTGATATATGGGGAACTCTGGGGACTGTAAAGTAAGGAGGGACTCTAGATACTGAGTCCCCCCTTACATCAGGCCCCCAGTATCCCCTCTTACATCAGCGTCTGATTTAAGGAGGGACTCTGATGTAAGGGGAGACTCTGGACACTGAATCCCCAAAGTCCACCCTTACATCAGAGTCTGCAGAGTTCTCCATTATTACATCATTGTCCCCATTACAGCTGAGTCCTTTGGTAATGTAAATGGGGTCTCTGGGGATGCTGATATAAGGGTGGACTCTGGAGACTCTGATGTAAGGGGATACTCTGGAGACTGTTGTAAGGGGGGCTCGCCTCTGAGGACTCTGATGTAAGGGGCGAACTCTGGGGAATCTAACGTAAAGGGAATCTCTTGGGAATCTGATGTTAGGGGAGACTCAGATCTGAGTTTGACTTATTTTTAAACTGATATTATAGTAAAGTTATCTAAAGTATGGGTGTCAGTTTTTGGAAAGGGACTCAAGTTCAGTGCTTGCCATAGGTGCTATTTTCTGAAGATACGCATCTGCGGCTCTCTCTGTGTTATCATCAGAGCTCCAAGACAGGTGGGCACTATGCTCTGTATACAGAGGGGGTGGTTGTCACAAGGACAGCAGAGCAGAGTATGGCTGAGCTGTCAGTTTGAGGGCTCAGTCCTTCACAGTGCAAGACATGACTGGGTGATGCAGAGGGGGGAAGGCTCCTGCCTCAACTGTTCCCCTTGCAGTATGGTGCCCAAGGCAGGTGCCTGGGCCCTGCCTTGCCCATTGTAACATACTATACATGCCACAGTAATTATAAAGATTGAAGTATAATATTGAGCAGTTTCTGATAAATTTAGCAGAATGTTTGTAGCTCTATGATGACGGCTCAGGACATGGAAGGAGGTGCTCAACTTTTACAGGAAAAGTCAAGATTTTCATGTAAAGTACCTCTTCTTATACATTATTATGCTCACTTTGGTTTCCATTGCTGACCTCAATTTGAGAATGCCAGTTACTTGGCTGTCTCTGGCTTCAGTACTGGAACAAGCATGCAAGCAGTGAAAAAACCCTCTAGCATTCTTTTTATTTGCATACTTGTTCTAGGTTAGTGATTCAGAAAGTACGGAAGCCATAGGATCAGCATAACATGCAGACCACCAGCATTTTCAAACGGGAGGTTACCAATGGCAGGCTTCATATTTTCTAACTATCCATTCCCTTGTAATTTACTTATTTTCCTCCTTTCTTATCATGACAGGGTCCATCAAGAGAGGTGAGACAAATGTATCTAACATTCCTGCACTTTACAACATTTCTTAATTATTTTTATGCAGATCAAGAGAAACCACAGCAACTGAATTTGATTTGTTTGTTCTATATACGGTATGTCATATTTCAAAACAAGCAGAAGTACAAACCCTGCTAAAAGTTGTTTCTTCTTCTTAGATGATAGAATCATGCCCATTCATGAACTGACAAATGTTGCCATCTACAGGCTGCACTTAGCACAGTTTAAGTTTCCAATTACTCGTTGAATTGTGACTAAGCATTAAAAAAAACTCAAGAAAGGGTCTATTAATTAAAAAAATCACAGATTCATTCATCCTGCAAAGCTTTGTGAATATTTCTTATGAGTGAATATAAGCAAAATCAAACGTTCTGAACATATTTTCTTTTTAGGTTGAATAGGTTGAATATAATGTCATGTAATACTGCATTATGGCCACTAGATGAAGCTAAGGAGCATTTAAAATAAATGTTCATATTTCCTAAATATATCCTGAATAATAATAATATTAATAATAATAAATAACTGTGGCCAGGTAATATCTAACGCTGGGTTCACATCTTAGCGTATTGTGAACTTGCGTTTGCCGCGCGTTTCGTACTGCGCGGTTTTACCGTGATTTGCGGTAAAGGAAACGCGTGGCAAACGCGAGTTTCCGAGGGGGTATCCGGCTGTATCCTGATGGATACAGCCGGATAGGCTCGTTAATACGCCCCAAAGAAGCTCCTGTACTTCTTTGGGCGTATGGCGTTTTACCGCGCGTACGAACCATGCCCATAGGCAAACATGGGTTTTCACCTGTTGCGCATTTTATCGCGCGTGGAAACGCGCGGTAAAACGCCCGGGCCTTACAGCTGAAGAGCCTCATATTTGGTAACCTAGGCCATATTTAAAAGGGGTGTAGGGTTGTAGACTTTATCTTTAGGTGTCTATAGACTTTAAATGACAGTCTTCCATTCCAGCCTTTTTTGACAAAACTGTGCAAAGTTTTGATGTCTGTAAGGCAGTGCACAAAACTGTTGTTTTTTCCCTAACTGGTGCGCACAGGGCTTTTTCTCCCTCCTTTTTTGCTATCATCAGGAGCCCTCTTGTAAACTAGATTAGCCCAGTTTATGGGGGTAACTGGCCCTAGAAACATTGTGGGACAATCCAAAAATGTACGCTTTGGCCAGCTTACAGTGCATATCAAGCCAAAAAGTTTTTTCGTTTTGGATAGGGTAAGGAATAAGTAAGATCCCTCTCAGGTTTTCTTTTGCTGAAAAAAGTGTAGGTGTGTGGATCACTGGATCACTAGTAAAGTTAAGAACCCTGATAGGGTGTCTCTTCTGGTGTAGAGGGTTTCTTTCAGAAGGCTCTCAGGAGAAAGGGAGACTATTTCCAGCTATCATGTCAGGAAGACTGGACGTGTATGAAGGAAAATGCAACAATATGTGTGTTATTTCCAGAAAAGTTTTTTATTTGTGTCTGCAACTGCAACTCTACACTCCAATCTTTCATTCAGGATATACTTTTTGCATACTGTTCAGAGCACACCACTTTAATCTTTACCAAGCCCTGATGAAGGGAACCCCTGAAATGCATTGGATTTTGGTTTATATGACTCCATATTTTTCTGGACCTAACACTTTCCTTCATACGCCTCTATGTATTTTTTGCTGTCTGTAATTCGCTGGGGAGATTTCCCTTTATTTCCTGCCCCAAAGCCACAGCAGGAAATAAGAGGAGATCTCTCCAAAGTGAAGGGATATCCCCTTTTAGACAGTTGATGGAAGAACAGGTACCTGTGATAACTCCACAAAGTTGGATGCCCCATCAATTTCTGTATCAGTACCAACTGTAAAGGTAAATCTCCCCAGACAGCAATACAACCCTGACAGAGGTTCTAATACTTCCACTTTTACTCCAAAACAAACAAAAAACAAATTCTTTATTTTACATTAACAGGGTTATTCATAAAAGGGTGAAGAGTTTGGAGAAGGCAGGAGACGTGAACAATCTAGGCCAAAATAGCTGATTTGGAAAAATTCTCCAATTCAGCTCACTTTCCAGTTCAGCTATGTTCTTCTAGTTTGTTCACTTCTACTGACTTCTCTACGTCACTATTTATAGGAGTTTGGTATATCCCCTGCCTGGGGGGGGGAGTGTGGAGTTTGTGGCGAGTTCCTCCTGTGCGCCCCTCAGTACTCCCTATTCAAAAGTGGATGGCGGATTGTGATTAAAATGAGGACAGATACAGAAAGAGATCCGTACTGAGACTGATATTCTGGAACTGAGTAGAGTTGGGGGGCTGTCTAAAGACTGTCCTCAGTGTGTGCTGAATGTGACTTGGGGAGCTGTCCAAAGACCCTCCCCTGTGACTACTTAATGTTACTTGGGGAGTTGTCTAAAGACCATTTTTTCTGTCTACTGAATGTGACTTGGGGGAGCTGTCTAAAGACCGTTCTCTGTGTCTACTGAATGTGACTTGGGGAGCTCTCTAAAGACGTCCTCTATGTCTACTGAATGTGACTTGGGGAGCTCTCTAAAGACCGTCCTCTATGTCTACTAAATGTGACTTGGTGAGCAGTCTAAAGACTATCCTCTGAATCTACTGAATGTGACTTGCGGAGCCGTCTAAAAACTGTCCTCTTTGTCTACTGAATGTGGCTTGGGAGCTGTCTAAAGACTGTCCTCTGTGTCTGCTGAAACTGACTTGGGGAGTTGTCTAAAGACTGTCCTCTGTGTCTACTGAATGTTACATAGTTACATAGTATTTGAGGTTGAATAAAGACATTAGTCCATCAAGACCCAGAATGTGGCTTGGGGAGCTGTTTAAAAATTGTCCTCTGTGTCTGCTGGATGTGACTTGGGGAGCTGTCTAAAGACCATCCTCTGTGGCTGCTGAATTTTTCTTTGAGGAGCTAAAGACTGTCCCCCGTGGCTGTGGAAAGAATGTGGATATGTCAAGAAGTAAAAAAATGGCGACGTGAAGACGTGTCTTATTGGAGCTCTGCATCTCCCGGCACCGGCCTAATCTCTAGCAGACGTTAATACCCCTCTTCTTGGATGTCACGAGTGCAGGGTAGCCAGGTGTGCCTCCGGAGCGCTAGACAGTCTGAATTGGCAGACTTCTTCGCCCCTGCGGGCGCCACGAGCCGACTGCATGACCCGTCCAGCATGGCGACTACTCGCTCCGTGACAGCAGGCCCCACTCCTTCCAAGACCCGGAGTAAGCTGGCGGCACCTCCCTCCCTCTGTAACCGGCCTGTCGCAAGATCGCCACCCATCGCCGATCCCCTCGCCGGACCTGCAGCCTGATGATTCCAGTGCCCAAACGGTGCCCGAGGTAGGAGAGGGGGGAGACTTAAGAGAGATTCTCCCGCGCCTCACTACAAAGGGGGACCCGGAGGACATGGCTGCGCGCATCGTGGCGGCCCTCAGACAGGAGGTACAGGACATTGGGCAGAGGGTGACTTCCTTAGATGGGCAAGTATCGACGGTAGAGGAATCTACAGCCTCCCTAATGCAGCGAGTGGCGGCCCTTGAAGAAGCCCATTCAGGCATGGGCGCTCAGATCACCACGGCCTTTCTCAGACTGGATGACGGTGAAAACCATAATCGGCGCAATAACCTGCGGGAGCGGGGTATCCCTGAAGCCACACCGGGCCGGGATCTACGTTCCACAGTTCTGGCGATTCTTAATCAATATTTGGATCAGCCCCCAGCGGCTGAATTGGAGCTGGACCATGTGCATAGAGTTATGGTGCCCGAGCAACAGCCCAGGCCAACTCCCCACCCAGGGATGTGTTATGTAGGGTGCACTTTTATTCCATCAAAGAGGAAATCCTGCGGCAGGCCTGGCACAAGGGGCCCGTAGATTTTGATGGAGCACATATTCAAATTATGCCTGATCTCTCTAGGCACACCCTCCGTATGCGACGATCTCTGAGGCCCTTATTGGAGACTGTCCGCTCCGCTGATGCTCATTACAGATGGGGACACCCGTTTCATCTAATTGTGCGACGGGGAGACCAATCCTTTTATCTACACCGTCCCCAACAGCTGCCGGATTTGTTCGTTTTCCTGGGCACAGAGGCGATCCCGATCCCGAACTGGTTGGGCTTTTCAGAAGACCGCCCGCCCTCGGCCCCACTTCCAGCGGGGACGTCCAGGAAGGAGAGATCCGCAACCAAGCCAGTCAGCGGATGGCCCCTGGCCCATCTCATGCACGGAATGAGGCCTGATAACCTTTCTTGATGGAGCCTGACTCGCTGCCCCCAGGTTAGGCTGTAATCTTACATGCCCCAGTGGCAGCTTGCGCTATACAGGAGGGTTATGTCATGTTAGGTTATTTGGTTATTTTAGTAATAGGGGGGGTCCTATCCTGATGTCAGATAGAATATTTGAAACTGAAACTAGATGAAACTAGATGTCAGATAGAATATTTCTACATCTGGTTAAGGGAAAATTCTGATTTCACTGTAGTAGAAGGATTCAGGAAAGTGAGTTTAAGTTTATGATAGAAAAATTGTAAACCCATAAAAATGACATCAAAGGAAATGATCATGTCCTTATTGTTACGAATGATAACTAGGCAGCAGTACACGCTTACCAACTGTAATAGAGAGTGATTAGCAACACAGTTATGCATGACTGGACAGGAAGTGGCTAGCGTCTCTCCAGTGGGGTTACAGAAAAAAATAACAATCACAATTAGAACCTCAATCATATTTTTCTTGCCATATGTGTGCCAATTAAAATAGGGAAGTAAGTAATTTAATTTTAAATGTCTGTACATAAGTACTCTGCTTTAGACATAATTAGGGCCTATGTCAATTAGCTTTTCAGAAAGTCTTATGAAGCTTTAACTGCTTTGATAAAATATGTCCAGTTTACTGGATTTAGCAGAAGCTAGGTGTCACTCTGTGATTGCACTGACTCTGCAGCATTTCCTTCAGTGATGGAACGATACCATAGAGGCAGTTGAGTGCTCTCTTTGGTAATCTTGTTGCCAACCAACTGAAGCCAGTGACAGGATCAATAGTGTGACAGGGTCCTATGGCCAGACTATTTTTGTGGCTTGAACTGGCCCCATTTGCAGTCCAATTGCTCTCTGAGATTTTAACAAGGCAGATGACATTATCATAAATAAATGCAAACGTTTGTCTCTCACAAGCATCAAGAGTACGATATCTCAAAATGAATAAAGACCTAGAGTTTCAGCCACCAATCGCTGGTCTCAATGAACATATCCACCACCATAACTGGCAATACTGCCAGCAAGGTCTGCTCTTCTAACTACCAAGTGCCCATCTGTCAAACTACCACAGCTTATATATTGCTGCTTCTGGGGCTACTTGTAAATTAAAAAATCCCCTTGCACCGTTTCCAGGAATCAGCTCTTCCTGGATTGGTTAGATTCGCTAGCAAGTTCAAAGGCACAATGCAAGTAAATACAAAATCATTTACAAAAAGAAAAAACTCTAAAAGTAAGCATGTAAAACACTTGATTTGTCTGTGCTCTTACCTGCAAGGTTTTAAGCTGGTGACAGAGTCTCTTTAAAACCACATGCAATCTTTTTCTTGTGAAGCCAGCAGTAGGCGGAAAATGTTTCTTTGCAAAATGGATTTTGGCTGTAACTTGTGCCAACCAGTGGTGGAGAAGCGGTAGACGGGACCTAATATTGCTCATGTATCTCTACTTCTGACCATCATCCTGAACACGTTTGGCAGGAAAAGCAGGATAATAAAAGTGTTTTATATCTGGCAGACACAACTGATCACAGAAAGCATCGTGTCTTACAAAGTAGCTTGGCTCCACAGATGTATTCACTTTGCACCTCTACTAAGAATACAATAGGACCATTATATATAAAAATAGTTTAGTAATGGGATGTGAGAGAAATACACACTCTTGTGCCTAATGAATATTATTATGCACCATTAAACATCCACTAGCAGCGTGTATTAATGGAGAAAGCTTTACTTAGCTAAGCTGTGGGATAGTATCGTAAATAACTCCCCACTCATAAAGTGCTACTTCCCAGAAAAACGTGTTTAAGAGAATAGAACAAGTACAACAGCATAGAATATTGATCTGCTCGTAAATATTAAACAAAAAGGTGCTTTATGGTCCATATGTTACGCTTCAAGTGTAACTCCAGGCAATAACTAAATCCACATCTAAAATACCTACCGTATATACTCGAGTATAAGCCGTCCCGAATATAAGCCGAGGGTGGGAAATGAGGCAGCTACTGGTAGATAGATACCAATAAAATGACATTAATATTTATTTAAAAGAAAAATAACCTAGCTCTGTAAGTGGAAAAGGGGGTACAGGGCTACATACAGATCATTTAATACATTCATGTTAGTATAATTGTAAATGTATTGTCTGCACTGTATTAGCAGTATATACTCTATATAGAGTATATACTGCTAATACAGTGCAGACAATACATTTACAATGATCCTCTGCTAACATGAATGGGTTAAATGATCCGTAGTACATGATATGTAGCCCTGTACTATGGATCATTTAACCCATTCATGTTAGCAGAGGATCATTGTAAATGTATTGTCTGCACTGTATTAGCAGTATATACTCTATATAGAGTATATACTGCTAATACAGTGCAGACAATACATTTACAATGATCCTCTGCTAACATGAATGGGTTAAATGATCCGTAGTACATGATATGTAGCCCTGTACTATGGATCATTTAACCCATTCATGTTAGCAGAGGATCATTGTAAATGTATTGTCTGCACTGTATTAGCAGTATATACTCTATATAGAGTATATACTGCTAATACAGTGCAGACAATACATTTACAATGATCCTCTGCTAACATGAATGGGTTAAATGATCCGTAGTACATGATATGTAGCCCTGTACTATGGATCATTTAACCCATTCATGTTAGCAGAGGATCATTGTAAATGTATTGTCTGCACTGTATTAGCAGTATATACTCTATATAGAGTATATACTGCTAATACAGTGCAGACAATACATTTACAATGATCCTCTGCTAACATGAATGGGTTAAATGATCCGTAGTACATGATATGTAGCCCTGTACCCCCTTTTCCACTTACAGAGCTAGGTTATTTTTCTTTTAAATAAATATTAATGTCATTTTATTGGTATCTATCTACCAGTAGCTGCCTCATTTCCCACCCTCGGCTTATATTCGGGACGGCTTATACTCGAGTATATACGGTATATGTTTACTGTTTTACCTGCCACTGTTAGTACTGTTTGTATTTCTGTACTGGCAGTCTTGTGATTTAAACACATCTGCCACCCTACACAGCCAGAAATATCACGCTACTACTTTCTGGATAACATTATTACCCTACCAATTCGACAGCAGTAATGATGCTGATTCATTGTCCAATGACCAAGCAGGAGCTGGACAGGTTGCACAGGAGGCTGCATTGCTAAATCGGGAAACAAGTGTGTCACCTGCCAGACTGTGGAGTGTGGCAGCTGTGTGGAAGTTTCAAAACTGACAATGTGTGTTTAAATTGTGTATTTATCTGTTTACCTGGGGTTTCCCTCCACTGTAGGTACAGGGTTCATTTACAAGGAGGAACATATTTTCATAAACTACAGATTGCACTGATCTAGTCAGCCGGGAACCTGTAGTGATGATTATTAGCAGAATGAACATGGTTACACACGGCTCATATTTTACTCAGTACCTTTTATTGTTCAATTGTTTTATTTTGATAGAAACGCAGGTACACTATACAAAAGATTGAGGTTCCAACACTCAGTGATGCAGTTTTATTTGGATTATGTCATTGTGCAGTTGACAATAGAGGTGAAGTAAGAATGCAGCTAATGCATTGTTTAATTAAATATGTTTCACTGGAGATAATCATAGTCCAAGGTTCTGATAAGTGTAAAAGATCAGAAATAGTGAGAAGAAGAGAGGAGAAAGATAAAAAGGAGCAGGGCACGGAGACGTGGCCAAGGGGAGCACTCACCCCTAACTGGTTGGCTTAAATAATACGTTTGTTGGCTTAAAGCATTAGAAAGCACATATTGATAGTCTGAAATTATGAGCTTTGTGTCCAAGGCTGGCATATGTTTTCATAGAGGCCCATTCCATCTGTGATTGGCCATCAATTTTTTATAGTCCAAAGTTTAAGCCTTGCTTTGACTTCTGAAATGTTCAGCAAAATGGACTTTCCATGCCTTTGCGGTCATTTGTTTGGCGGCTATAAATGGATGTTTCAGGAATTTAAAAGTGTATTTATCTACACTGTCAAGTCTGCGATTTAGTAGGGCTTCATATAGGTTCACCCGATACCTTTTTATAAAATCTGAAATGCTCAAAGAGATATTGACACCCTAGTTCCCAAGATTGCCCCTTTTCTGTAGGCATTGCAAGGAACTCTCTTCTTTATTTAAACAATATTGATTATTTGTGCCCTGACACAACAGTAGTAGTAAGACTTGATGACAGGAGGGAGGATTAGAGCCATGGGAATACTTTACCAATGGTGTTCCCAAGAGGTACAAGAAGCTAGTAGATGCTTATACCCACAAGTGTTTATTGTAAAACTGAGATTTCATTTCTGGGCTCACTAATTCTATAAGCTAACTGTGGGTAAAGCTGTTTATATATTTTTTTAAAACTTATTCAAGTGTACACTGATACCATCGGATTTGCTTCCTGCCCATTAACCACAGTGTTCCATCTCTTCTCTGCTGATCTCTGGAAATACTGTCCCAGCTTATTCCATGCTCCAAATACAAACTAAGTCCCTGTTTACTTGTCTGTTTTTCATACACAAGTAAAACACAAGACTTTTACTGCATGAAAATGGATTTTAGGAAGAAATCCTATTTATTCTTATGTGGCAAGTTCATATCTATGTGCAGCAGTTTGCTGTGTCTTTAAAGGGAAGCTATAAGGACCCATTCACACTTATATGTGTACGTTACCAACTTAATGCAAAGGCAATTTGCATGAAGCAATGCTGATGGTGCAACTAGGGATGAACTTAAGATTCCCTTAAAAGAGAACTTGTGAGCAAAGTATTATGGAAGTACAGTTGCAGACATGGTTTTAAAGGTCAGACTTCAGGACCTCCTGCTTTACTCTGGAATCTAATCAATCATAAACCTGGAACAAGCATGCGGTAGTTGAATTGTAAAAAGTCTGTTAACTAGGAAACTACAGGTCAGTGCTTTGCTGTTAGTGAAAACCAAAGATTTGCATAATACATATACTCTTTTGATCCACCTGCTGCTCCTGCATTTAATTGCACCAAAAAATTAGGTGACAACACAATTAACTGGCTACAATTCTACAGGTGTTTTTTTTAGCTTTGGAAAGTGTAAAAAGGGTAAAATCCCTTCCAGTTTATTTTTTGTCCTCTTGTGGAGATTTCCTTTGACTTGAAATTATTTCATTACTGTTCAACGATTGCCTTTTCAAATAAAGGGGATGGACATTTGGTTGGAGTTACTCCTTAAAATCGTTTCCAGTGTTTCTTACACATTAACATTATAGTTTGGTACAGCCATTTTTGGGAAATCAGACCAGACCAATGAGAAGAGTGTATGTGATAAATAGGAACAGTTGTGAAATTTAGGCATATAGAGAAATAGTGCACTGATTTGTGTGCCGTTAATGTGAATTGATTAAGAGAGTGACTTTTAATAAATAACTCTTGGCCCCTGTACAAGTCACTGACGAGTACAAATGAATACAGCTCTCTTTTCATGAAGTGGAGCTCTTAGCGATAATGCAGGGGATGCTGCATGATTTTAGAAAGCGGTTTTGCACTGGGAATTGTCTGGCTCCTTATTCTAAGGCAACGCCATGGGTATAGACTTGTGGGAAGCGTTAAGTGTTCAGCACTAGAACAGAGGGGCCGTGCCTTCACTTGCTACTTGTAATAATAGTCTTAATGGAAGAGGAGCTCAATCAATACATCAGGACAGCTGTTAACAGATTATTTTAATGGAGCCTAAACGACTGTTGTTTTCTTTCATTTTTGAGTTTAAAAAATCTCTATAAATGACAATAACCTTACTGCAGTGCATCTCTAAATGTGAGAGTGTGAGTGCCTGTACAAACGCTTAGAGCTCCGGGGATTCCAGAACATCAGTAAGGAGAATATAACAAGTCTGTCTTTAATGAAGCCCTCATGCGAAGAATTGCAGAGGTGGATAAGGAGCTCAACTGTTACTTAAAGGCCCAAGGAGGAGTAGACTGGCAGAGAGGACACAAAGAAGACCTCCCAACTGTATGTGGATGACATTCACCTACAAAGGGTCATCACAGTGTGGACATGTCATCGCTGTTAAAGGAAGACATGGAGAAGAAACTTTTCAAGCCTCGAGGACATACTTTATATGAATTCATTGAAACAAAATCCAAACACAAGGAGAAGTTTTACTTGTGCACATCAGGTAATGAACATTGCATAAAATGGCATATAATAAGTAATACAGTTTTCTTCCAGTTAGGGTAATGTTTCTGTTTTACAGTTGCACTGCTATTATTGTGTTGAATAGTGATGCTATTGACAATAATAGTTAGAATGTACAGTAGATAATCATAGTTATATTAAAAAAAAGTTATAATACACAAGCATCTCCCAGCTTGTGTGCCATGGCACATTTACGTGTTATAGCACTGTGTATGGGACTACACTGCCAGCATGGCAATCTTCCAGCCAAACATTTTCTATTTCTGTGTCATTCATATACATAACAGGAGAAGAAACAAAGCTGGTAGAGGAGTCACTCAGTCCTTGTTCCTGCTTATTTCAATCTGATTGTTCTAATATTTTACATTGATAGAAGTCTGGCATAATGCTTTAATAAGCTAAGTTTGTTTTGTCTGTTCTTGAGGAATTTAATAGGTTGTACAGGCATTACACGTGGCATCCCTGATATCATGGGTTTTGTTTAACTGAAAAAAGGTAATTTTAACTTAAAGCTAAACCTAAGTAAAAAAGTGGGGGGTGATGAGCAAAGAGAAGGGAGAGCGATTAAATCATATATGCAAAATTTAAGCAATGGCTACAGATTCGTAGTTGTATAATGACAGTTGTTCTATAAACTGTATACAAGTTATGACAGCCAGGTCTTATTGAAGTGATGAGATCAGTCTTTCCATTTTATATGGAAGGTGAACTTTTGATGTGTGTATATTCAATGTGGTATGGGTTAGCATAATCACTGCAGCACTCTGCCATCTTCAGTGTAGGATACATGGGAGTATACGTTGTAGGGACAAGAAGAGTATTTTCAGCTAAATTGATTTTGCAATAAAATTAAAGATTTCTCCATCTGTAGCATTTCACAGAATCGGAAACTCTCAATTTGAGAGCTGGTTCACAACATCTCCAGACCGATGCATTCTTTATCTGCACCAAAAAAAGCACACACAGTAATTCCAGCGGTTTTAAATGAAGCTAGTTCACCCATTGCCTTAAGTGCCAGAGCTTTTAAAAAGAGTACAGTTGCATGCTTTTTCTTCATACTGGAGCACACAAAAACACATGTAAATGCACCAGAACGAATTGGAATTAACTTAAGCCCAGGCAAAACCGATTTTAAAAAAAACACACACTGAAATGCATCCAAAGATCACCTTAATGCACATGCTGAAATGCATTCAGAACCAGTCTGGAGGTGTGTACAAGCTCTTACACCTTAAGCTGCATAGGGAAAACAAAATCTTACTTTATTTAGCAGACTATATTTGGTGGTTTACTTTATTTCTTTTAATGTTATTTGTATTTGAATTAATGTTTCACTTAGTTTTTGTGTATTTGATTGTTATGTGTTTACTAATGCTTTAATCTTGTACTTATTTATACAATAAAGAAATGTAAAATAATGAGGGGCTATACTTTGGCACAAGAACAGGTCACAGATCCAAGATAGTTAAAGTGTAAGGAGTAACATTTAAAAAATGCATTCAAGTACCTTAACTATTAACAAAAATGTATCTTATTTGTGTATCACTCAGCTGTAGATCCTCATAATCATCTCTGAATTGGTGCTGAAACTGGAGGGGGCTACTTTTGTTCCCCATGGTTCCTGTGTGTGTTGTAAAGTAGCCACTGTTCCAAGCTTCCTCCTGTGATGGACTATAACCTCAATACAAAACATCACCTGATACTGTAGTCCATCACAGGAGTGAGCTTGGATAGATGGCCACCCGCCAGAGGGAAAGACAGTGTCAGCATGCATTCAGAAATGATTTGAGGATCTGCAGCTGAGTGATACACAAAAAAGATACATTTTTGTTAAAAGTTAGGATACCTGAATTCATTTTTAAGATTTACATCTTTAGTGTCACCTTAAGGAGCTTCAATAACCCCCATGAACTATTTAAAGTAACCACAAATAGCAAAAAAAATCACTTAATTCTGACTTCCCAATTGACTACAATGTGTTTTGCCAAAATAGTGAACTTTTGTCAACATTTCTCAATTTGTGCTGAAATTTTGAGTCTGTTAAAACTTTTTTTTTTATTCATCCCTAATAAACACTCACTGTACTGAAATTACAATAACAGGTCATGTAATCACTGTGGAACCCAACTGCAGCCTAATCCTATAGTCACTGTGACAATGTGGATTCCTCAGTATGGCACAAATGCAAGTAAGGACTTTAATGCACAAGTTTGACATTTTGACATTGACTGCACTGTAGCAGCAAGTTGTTACATTTAGTAGTTTACTCTGGTGTACAGTTTCGTAGACATATATGTGTGTGTATATGCAACTAACTTGTTACCTACTTGCTGCATGTACATTATGTAGGCAGATACATTTCAAACTGTGTATGTAATAGGTGCATTTGATTCTGACTCTTCCATGCAAGGCAACGGCATTAATATTTTGGAAGTAGAAGTCCCAGCCTATTCTGCATACCCTAGGGACTTCCAGATCCTCAATAGCAATGTTGTTTTGGTTTATTGTTTTGTCATAGCATTTTCAAGTCACATTTGTATCACATAACTGTGCAAGCTCTACAGAGATTACAGAGAGTTTCATATGTGTAGATAACAAATGGATGTTGCTATTGTTCCAAAGCTTTTTATTTACAGTGGCTTTTATGATTTGCAAAAATCAGATTTTTTTTCTAAGTCTAATAAAAAAAGTAGAAATGATATAGTGTATTTAAAATGGATTTTGGGAGCATATTTTGTTATATTTGGTAGGTTGAATTGTATAGTTGAGTATTCTCCTTTCAGGTCGAATAAATATAAATGAAAATAACATACATATAACAATTTAATATAAATCCAGTCTTTACTGCAAATTCTAATACATTAGTTCTTGTATGGCAAAAATTAATTCATTAGGGATTTCCTTCAAGTAGACTTGGAGAACGCATAAAACATTACATAAGCCAGGGTTAAACGTTTATCTTTATTTTACGGGTAGAAGCTAGGGGATTGATTAACATATCACCTTATTACATGTCTGGAGGAATGTTGATATAGTATGGGCTCTGTACTTACAATCCGAGGGTCCTTAACCTGCTGCTGCTATTTAAGGGGATGCCACTGCCCCTGCTAAATTAAGATTGTCATTCATTTGACATCATTAAAAAAATATAATTAACATATTAGATCTGGGAAAGATTAATGTTTCATATAAAAGTATTTATCATTTGTACAGTATTATAAGCCTGAGGAAATAGCCATTGCTTTCATTTACCATTTATTCAACCAATGCGCAATTTAATAAAGTGTAAATTAATTTTAATGAATATAGTAAATATGACAAGTTTTGGGGAGAGACTGGGAGAGACTTATTAAAATGTGAAGTAAGGTAAAGTGAGGTCTGGGGTGTGTAAACAACCAGAAAGATCTTCAAATATGATCAAACTTTAAAAACAATGCCTTATGAGTATTATGCACCCTCAGGTATGGAACTTTTGGTATAATTTTGTTTGTAGTGGTTGTAATTGTTTACTCTTTGATCCTTGCCCACAAGTGCATCCATTACTCACAATGTGGTTGATTTAATGTGTTTACTCTGTAAATGTGACCATATATATGTGTTAGTTCATCTCTATTGACCATTGTAGAAGCATTAAAAACTGCACCACCTATTAACTTTTGCAACTAATAACCTAAGGAAAATAAAAAGTTGGAAGGGTGAGCTAGAAATGTTTGGCAAAGTGAAAGAAAAACCAGATGTCAAACATAAACCTTAAAGTGACACTAAACTCAGGAGTTAAATCTTAAAAATGCATTCAGGTACCTTAACTAACTATTACCAAAAATGCAGCTTATTTGTGTATCACTCAGCTGTAGATCCTCCAATCATTTCTGAATTCATACTGACACTGTCCTTCCTTCTGGAGGGTGGCTACCTCTGTTCCCCATGGATCCTGTGTGTGTTTTAAAGTAGTCACCGCTCCAAGCCAACTCCTGTCATGGACTACAATATCAATACAAATTAGTAAACTAAACTGTAGATTGTAGTCCATCACAGGAGTGAGCTTGGAGTGGTGGCTACTTTACAAGACACACAGGTACCATGGGGAACAAAAAAAGCCACCCTCCAGAAGGAAGGACAGTGTCAGCACCAATTGAGGGCTAGTTCACACCAGCCCCAGTGCATGCAGCATTTTTTATGCCCGCACCGGACCGGAACGCAGGCATTGATGTGCCACCTGTTTTGGTGCGGGCAATCGCACTGTGACCGGAGGGCGTGGCTGTGGTGCCATTGACTTCCAGGCACCGCCACGCCCCCTCCCACCCCAAAACCAAGTGAGCTGGCCAGGATGCAATCCAGTGTGTTGCAGAACTGAATTGGGCCGGAACGCACTGATGATAGAGCCTCATATCATCTCTGAGGGCTAGTTCCCACCAGCCCCAGTGTGTTCCGACCTGATTCGGTGCCAGAACGATGGTGGGGCAGGTGCGAACTAGCACTCAGAGATGATTTGAGGATCTACAGCTAGGTGATACACAAATAAGATAAATTTTTGTTAATAGTTAAGGTAGTTGAATGCATTTTTAAGATTTAAGTGGCAGTTTTATAGACAATAAGATGTACAATGAACACTAAAAAATTATTTGTGTATTGTTTTTTGGTAAAAGAAAATAAATTGGTTTTTGAATTTTATGAAAAAATGGGAATTTGTGCAAAATAGGAGAACAAAACCTGGAGAAATGAACCCTATCTGCCCAACTTAGAGAAAGGAGGAGAAGCTTGTATCAATGTTCACCAATTTCACAGGTTATTTGTGTTTTTATTTCTGTCTCTGATGGGAAGGTTCATTCCTTCTCTTGGTTCTAGTGGCCGTCAAAGTTATGGCCAGAACAGGAAAAGAGGTGAAATCTTCTGATGCAGACATTTGTTCTAGTGACAGTTGACTAAGGGTGGTTTTGCTTGATTGAGATGGAGACTGATTCTCTACTACATTTAATATGTGCTGGGTTTTTATACACATCTTTTGAACCTTTAAACACTGGTGTGCTTTGCCCCCTGCTTCCTCTTGTCTCTTTTTGTTCTTCTCCTATGGGCCTAACCTTATGTCCTCCCTTTGCTGAGATTTGCCCTGAACTGCAAGGGAGATTAATGAATTCCAGCTGTTTTATGTGTTTTGGCATATTCTATAAGGTGTAGGGGTGTATACATGAGTTTTTCTTATCTAACTCCCACTTGGTAGGGTATACCTTCTTCTGTTAGGATGATGTATGTCTGTGCTTAATTTATTGTATCTGTATCCTTGTAATAACTTGAACATTTCAGTAAAACATGTATTAAATTATAAAATGAAAAAAGTGTTGGCTTTAGGTATACTTTAAAGTTAGGAGAAGATTTAGCAGGATATGGCCATGTTAAATGTAATTCATTTATTTCAAGGGTTGGGTTAAGGGTTATATATAACAAAAGGCTCCTGTTTAACAGTTTATACCTTTCTCAACCAGGATGCTGTGGTGTCTTCTGACTTCCTCAAGGGTGCCTTGAAATTTTGTGATGGTAGGACTCTGATGTGAAGGGAGAAAGAAGGGGGCTTCTAATGTTAAGAGAACTCCTAACATGAAAAGGGTGACTCTGATGTGAAAGGAGGGAAGTCTGAGGAGTCTAATGTGAAAGGGGGGCTCTGATGGGAAGGGGAAATCCTGATTTTAAGGGAGGACTTCGATGTGAACAGAGGAACCGCACTTTTCTCTGTTTTTGTGTGGGGTCCCCCCTTAAAATCCATTACATTTTTGACTTGGGTGTCTTGAGATTTTGCATACGTTTAAAGGGTGCCATGACTGAAAATGGTTGAGAAACGATGGTCTAGACAAGTACCAAATCCAGTTACTATGTGATGAACAAGTTTCATAAAGTAAACAAAAAACTTCCATTACGTCCGCTGACTGAGCCAATTTACTGCAGCTCACAGTTGGAGGATTTTAGCAACAGAGGCAGTGCTATCAATTCAGAAAGCAATGGGCAGGACTAGGTGTGGCCAAATGGTGAATAACAAGCTACAGGCTTGTGAATCAGCGGTGACAGTGTTGATAGCCATGCCCTCTGCAACAGTTTTTTCTTCCGGTAGTGCAAGCAGGCACAGCCTACATGAGAGTGGCAGCTCTCTGAGTTCAGGAGCAGTGCAGCATTGTTGTCACACCATCACAGGGAGCTGCATGAGGTGTACTCACTGGCATGCTCAACTTTTGATTGTGGGACTTTGCAGGGGGACGAAGAGAAAACTGTGTGTATGCACTTTTAATTAGTTGCTGCAGCACATTTTTTAATGGTAGGTCACGGCTTTACTTTAAATGTGGGGTGAAGGATCAATTTGTTGCTAGGGCACAGGTTATTGCAGGGTTATCTCTTTGTATTGTGCTATTGGTTAGGGATAGTCTCCATAATGAGTTCATTATGGCAGGTACACATTCTTATAAATGCTTGTTTTTAGCGCTGTCACTAATATTCAAAATGCTGTTAGAGTAAAAAAAAATTCAAACCAGTTTATAAATAAGCATTTGAGTATTAGCGGACTGCCATACACAAATTAAATCAAATAAGAACCTGGTCTGAATTTCATTTTAATTATTTCTATTTTTCCTGACTCAAGCTCTAGTCCAGGGGAGGGCAACTCTGGCCCTCCAGCTGTTGTGGAACTACAAGTCACATGAGGCATTGCAAGACTAACAGTTACAGGCATGACTCCCAGAAGCATGATGGGATTTGTAGTTGAAGCACAGCTGGAAGGTTGGAGGTGCCAACCCCTGATCTAGTCTCTACTTATGCCAGTCATAGGCATGCACACAGGGTTTGTTGGGTGTGCCTTGCCACACCCTAATCATCCCATGTGCCAGTGACCACGGAGCAACACAGTGGTGCCTGTTTATATCACCCCTGCTGATCCTCTGCATCTGCCCCACCTGCGATCCTCTGCATCTGCCCCTGCTGTGATCTTCTGCATGTGCTTCTGCTGCGATCCTCTCCATCTGCCCCTACTGTGATCCTCTGCATGTGCTCTGCTGCGATCCTCTGCATCTGCCCCTGCAGTTAGACGAAACACATGTAAGGTAGCTGGTTTACCTGCTTGCGGATTTGTATTTCTGTTAACCCGGTCCAGAGATTTACACAACTCTGCCACACACCACAACCTTGTCTGACAGGGAAGAAGTATTCTCTGCTGCAGTTAGGTAACACTTACAGCTCTTGTCCCTCCCCCATCTTGTGACTGGACAGTGAAAGAAGAAGCAGTAGATGGGTCAATCTCTCTGTCACTCTGACACTTTCTCCTCCCATCAGCATGCTCCATGTTAACACATGAGCATTGTAGCACACCTGGTGCATTTCCCTCTCCCAGTCTGGGTTCTACTATACTGTACTTTACTGAAGTAGTGGTGGCTGGGTATCGTACAACAAGGCATGGTGCATTCCATTGTGAGAAGGAAATTTCACTAACTTATAATCCAGCAATTGCACCCCCACCATCTTGGCAAGATGAACATTCAGTTAGCAGAGAGATGACCAAAAGTATATGTTTTGCCTCCTGTCCAGACATTCCCTAATTAATGGAGGAGTGGTGTTATTAGGAATACACAGGAGAAGGTGAAGAAGATAAAAGAGTACAGCCTTTCACCTAGTGTTTGCTGAGGATAAGTCCCACCCTATATATCAGATGAGTGCTTGTGGCAAATCATCTTGTAAGAGTGGCCGTGAACTTCCTGACTCTGCTGGCTTCCTACAGGTGACACTGGCTAAAAAGTGAGCCCAAAATCGTTACAGAGGGATTTAGAAAGGTGAGTGGCTGCACACGACTGACATGCAGATCAGGGACTTTGTGTCCCTAAACTGCATGGGCTGGGTGCAGAGAAGGCATCCTCGTACAAACTGTCAGGGTTAAGGAATCAGTTTCACCATATGTTACACAATGCACGCACAAAGCAGCATCTATAGTCTCACGGCAGCCAAGCAAACTGTGGCGAAAGCCTGGAAATCTCCTGTGCTCCCCTTTGCTGAGGTAACACGCAGACTCCATTGGACCTTTATTAATGAACGCATCACAGCTAGGCTAGATGACAGAGTTGCGCGTTTCCAGGCCACGCACTGTGATCTGACACTCCCGGATATGGAGGGCCACATTATCAGCACGTCACCACCTGCACAATGCACCTGTGTATTATGCTACCCAGGCTGTAGTGATATTATTTGTATCAGCAACTACCATACTGTTTGATATGTTCTTATGTTGATACCTTTCCGTGAATGTTTTGTACTGAAAAACAATAAAAACTTTTGATTTAAAAAAAAAGTAACATCTACAGCGAGGTTCGCCAAAGAGTCATGTCCACTTTTTTGTGCACTTAGTTGCGTTACAGCCCATTTAAAATGAATGAGCTGCTCTAATGCATCAGGCCATGGCAGACAATTACACAATAATGCCCTTCCAGCTATTTTATTAATGGTTTATCCTAGAGTAATTTGCATAATAACAAAGAAGTATGAGGGCATTTCAGTCATGTTATGTACACCGGTAGTCCAAGAACATAGTGTAACACCAAAGCAATTGTGTTTTTCAGTGGCCAAAGAAGAAGTCCACATATACCTGGTTAAACACTACCGAGTGTGTCTAGATGAGAAGTATGAAGTGGCTGAAATGTGGTTTCTCAGAGATCTCAAGTTCATTGACGGGAAGGAAGCAGATACAGTAAGCAGTTTAAATTTTACATGTTTAATAAATACTATTGGGAAAAAAGTTTTAAAACTTTGCCTATCAACTGTATGAGGGCCCTCACACATCTTTTATCAATGAATCTTTCAATCAGTTGCACCTGGATATGTATTGTGAGACAAATGTTTATGTTTCTATATCAGCCTTCCTCAAACAGGGTTCCTTGGCACCCTGAGGTTCCTCCAAAGATTGTCAGGGGCTCTTTGATTAGTCAGCATAGGTAAATTGACTGCATAGTTCCGGTCCCAACATCAGTCAGCAGGAGACACTACACTGACCACCATTGTAGCAAGACATTTCTTGCCATCACTGTAAGTAGGAACTTCTCCTGCTGACCACCAAAAATATGGGAGGATGCGGCCGTACGCACACCCGAACTGCACATCCGTGTGGGTGTCCATGCTCGAACACAACCTGTCTGTGTACGAGTACGGACACCCGCACTGACGTGCAGTGTGGGTGAGCGTGGGGCGGAGTAGACATGTGCGATTCGTTTCGTTACGAATCGAAATTCGTAAGAATTTCCCTGAAATTCGTAGATTCGTAAGCATACGAAATCCGAATTGCAGTTTCCAAATTTATATCAGAAATACGAAGTTCCGTTAACGAATTTCGGATCCGAATTTCTTTGAAACAGGAACTAATATTACCCCTGTAAATGAGGTTGAACAACATGACAAGATTTTTTTTTTTAATCCGAAATACGGATCCGCTGCTGCTGAGGGTTGCATTACAATACACAGGCAGGAAATACGAAATTCCGTTGTCGTATTTTCGTTCCGTAACGAACATTCGTTATATTGAAGGTAAAAAGCAAAGTACATTTATATTGGAGTTGAGGGTATTTTTTTTTTAAGTCCGAAATATGAAATTCGGATACGGTATCCGTTAACGGAATTCGTATTTCGTTTTGGTTGACCAGTCCGAGGTCCTCTTCTGCTGCTGAGAGTTGCATTACAAATACAGGCAGGAAATACGAAATTCCGTTGTCGTATTTTCGTTCCGTAACGAACATTCGTTATATTGAAGGTAAAAAGCAAAGTACATTTATATTGGAGTTGATGGTAGTTTTTTTTTAAGTCCGAAATACGAAATCCGGATACGGAATCCGTTAACAGAATTCGTATTTCGTATAAAAAAACAACTACCACATCGACTCCAATATTAACAAAGGTATTTTTGCTTTTTAACTTCATCATAACGAATGTTCGTAAAGTTACGAAAATGTGCCGAAACTAACGAAAATCTGTATTTCGTACGAATCCGAATTGAGTTTCGGATACGAATTACGGAATACGAAATAATGGATATTACGGAACGGAACAAATTTTTTGAGGCGCACAAGTCTAGGGCGGAGTACGGCCGCGTCACCCCATAGAGAAGAACAGGCTGCTGCGTACAATCACACGCGGCACCTGTCCTTCCCGGGAACGGCCCGTTACGACCATGCATGCCGCATGGATCTGTATGGGCCGACTCTAAGCTGTGTGAATGAGGCCTAATAGCGCAACCTGTCAGAAGCTGCATCCAGCAACTTGACAGGTTACGCAAAATGTCTTGAACAGGCAGGGGTGGGACAAATTTAGATGGGAGTTTCGTCTTGCCAAGGGCAGCACAAAACCTAAATACAACGCTGCTTACTGACCACCAACATGAAAGGGAGGCATGATGGCATAATGGGGAAATGGCATGTTAAAAAAGAGCATAGTTTCACATTTTCTGGGACATTAGTATTTGTATAAAATGTCACCTGTTGTGGAAACATTTCTGCTCTGTGTTATAGTGTCACCGCTCTGCATTTCCTCTGTGCATACAAGAAAATTACTATACATAGTCAGTATACTGTAATATGACAGAGATTCTGTGCAATACGTCAGCCATGTAGTGTGTCAGTGACCTACATCTGTCTGGGGAATACAGTGAATATCTACAAAAGAAGCCCATATTTTACTTTTGCGAGGGACCATCTTAAAAATACTTTAAATAGGTGAAGGTAAACTTAGAAAAAATGCATTTGAACAGACATTAGTTTAGTGAATAGGATAACGCTATGTTCATTTCAATGGAATGATTAATTCTTTTGTACATATTTTCTTTATATATTTATTATGGTCAAAATTTAAAAGATTGTACAAATATTTTTTATTAGTCAAGTAGATATAAAACATTGCATTCAGTTACTATGGGGTCTATTCACAAAGCAGCCGAGTGAATGACCGATCAGAAGTGAAGTGAGCCGAACACTGTTCAGCTATTCACTTCAGGCTGGTATGGCTGATTTCAGCCGTACATCGGCTGAAATCAGCCGTACATCGGCTTGCTTCGTGTGGCTTCGGATTAGCCGAACATGCTCAGCATGTTCGGCTGACCCGAAGTGCAGAAGGAGTTCGACTCAGCCGATCCAACATCTGGATCGGCTGAGCCGAACCTCCGGCAGGCTCCACACTGCTGTTCGGGCTATTCTGAAAGATCCCGAACAGCAGTGAGAGAATAGCCGAATGCCGCCGAGCGGCATTTGGCTCGGCTGTTCTGCTCTTCTGTTCTGTTCTGTTCTTGAAATTGAAATAGCCAATAGTAATGTCCCAATGCTTTTGAATGGGATTTTTTTCTTTTTCTCTATTCTGACATCGCTCGTGTCAAAATAAAGAAAAAAGACACAGCAGGGTTTTTCTCCTTGGCGGCCGGGAGGAGGAGACTCCCGGGGCGCCAGGGAGAGTCAGCTATTTGGAGATCAGTGTCCCTGGTTAGCAACCAGGGTCACTGATCAGTGTCCCTGATCTCTCTGAAAGTGGCCGGAGCCAGCCGTAAGATCACGGCTGGCTCCGCCCAGCTGTCAGAAGCAGGCTGTCGGCCTGCCAATGGCCGGCCGCTCGGCCAGCTTCGTCTTTCAGCACGGCTCAGCGCTCGATCTTTTATCCAGCCAGCAAATTACGCTCTCTCTTACACATCTCCCCACCCAGCTCTCTGCAATCACCTTTTGGCCAGAAAGGGGGCAGCAGGCACACTGCAAACATTGTGCGGCCATGACTCCCTGCCTGCCACCCACCCACGAGATGCCACCTGAGGGATGGCCCTGGGTTTCTCTAAACCCAAAGACAAAAAAAATTAAATATTGCAGATTACCAGTCCCTTGATGTGGTGGCCACATTTTCTTTTTTCAGGCTTTTTTACCCTTCTTTTATCACCCGCCAGTGACACACTTCCTGTACTAGGATGACTATGCACACTCAATGTACTGTATGTACGGAAGAGCATAATTGTTACCTTCGGACAGTAAATGTTTCAAGACTAGAGAACACCTCCTCCTTTCCTCATCTCTATAACACAGGGGAGGTGTTCTGTAATCCACAGAGAACTTAGGGCAGTTCACACCAGCCCCAATGCGTTTTGGCCTGATTGGTGACGGAACGCACTGGATCGCATTCTGGCCGGCTCACTTTGTTTTAGGGCGGAAGGGTGCCTGGCTGTGCATTGAAGTCAATGGAACCGCAGCCATGTCCTCTGGCTGCAATGCGATCGCCCGCTCTGTTCCGGTCAGAAAAAATAGTGCATGCAGCATTTTTTCTGACAGCACCGGAAAGGGACGCAGGCACTGATGTGGCACGTGTTCCGGTGCGGGTGATCGCACTGCGGCCGGAGGGCGTGGCTGCTGTGCCATTGACTTCAATGTACCGCTACACCCCCTCCCGCCCCAAAACGAAATTAGCTGACCAGAATGCGATCCAGTGCGTTCCGGCACCAATCAGAACGCACTGTGGCTGGTGTGAACTAGCCCTTGGGCATGGTTGATAACAATGTTCATGACTTCAGTGCAGCATTGTCAGCTTTCTACAGGAAGTTACAAATGTGTTTATTTTCTGGCAGTATCAACAGGGATTTATATAGAACAGACAAACCAAAACCCTTCTGATGGTATCTTTAACAAACCAAAATGGAACAAACAAGTTAGGTTTATTGTTATGGTTTACATACACGTTATACCTCTTTGTATACGCATGTCACAAAAGGCAGACCTTGGATATTGTGTTTTGTAGTAGACTGAGGTGTAATTAAAGAGCCTGCATCTTTAAACCAGAAATTAGGCTGGGAATATACTGTTAGCTCTATTTATCTTTCAAATTGAATTTTCTAATTGGGCAAAAGTTGAGTGGAGTGACCCAGGGTACGGTCTTGTGTTTATCTTAGTCATAAACAACACAGAGATTGAAATAAATAGTTGACTCTCGGGGTTTGCAGATGGGTTTGCAGATGACACTAAACTGTGCAGGGCAGTAAATTCTCATAGATATAAATTCACTTCAACAAGGACTAGTTAAAATTGAGCCGTAGGCTGCAAAATGGCAAATGCAATTTAATATTGAATGCAAGGCTATGCACTTGGGAGCAAAGAACGTGCATGCAAACTACTACTAAGGGAGCTCCACTGGGGAAATTGGGCATGGAGAAGGACCAGGGGTCCTCATAGATCATAGATTCAGCAATGTTATGAAATGCCAAGCAGCAACCAGCAAAGCAAACGGTGTACTTTCTTGTGTTAAGAGAGGGATTTCGACAAGGGATAAAAATATAATTTTAACACTTTATAAATAACTGGTTCGGCCTCACCTTGAGTATGCAGTTCAGTTTTGGTCACCAACCTTCAGGAAGGACATCCTCGAACTTGAGAGAGTTCAGAGAAGGGCTACAAAAATAATATAGGGGATGGAAGGCCTGTGTTATGAAGAAGAGCCTAATTGCAATTTTCAAAATCAATAATGGGTGTTTACACTGAGAACTCTTTTGATAACACAAGGGCACAACAAGAGGTTAGAAGAGAGTTGATTCATTCTTAGACTGCACAAGGGATGTTTTACCGTGAGAGTAGTTAAAGTGTGCAATTCCCTTCCTGTTAGTAGTAAACGCTGATAGCATTCATATATTCAAGAAACTTTTAGATGAGTTTCATACTTCTCTAAATATAAAAGGATATGGGAACTACTAGAGTCAAGTATATAAAGAAACACACACACACACATACATAGGTTGAACTGGATGGATCTGCATCTTTATTCAACCTTACCTACTATGTTACTATTTAAATGGCTGTATGTATGAATGTTGGGAATCCCACTTTTACCTTGACTTTATTTATCTGCTATTGTGCCCCAGCTGATGGATGTATTATTTAAGTAACAGTTTTAATTTTTGTATTCTTTAGGACAACCCACATTTTGACATGATGTTCAATGAAGTCTGCAATGTAGAAGCTTACAGCTGTGCCTCGAAATATGCTTTTGCTCGAAGTTTAATTAAACTGAACACTCAGTACACCAAGAAGGACATCCAAGTTATTAATTTTGACTCTTCCTACATAGAAGAAGGAGTGATGTGGTCTTCAAACAATGGGGACTGCTTGGTGCTTATGAGAATATGCTTTTATGCCTCCAATCTTCTTTGTCTATCTTTATGTCCAATGCCATAGATGGTGACGTTATAAATAATGATGTTGCATTCCTGAATACAGAGTTATGTCAAGTATCATGGGTATTGCTAAGTCTGTTAACGTTGGTAAAGTTCAGCATGTTCAGTCAAGGTTCTAGATTGAGTGAGTTTATTTTGAGGGTCAACCGTTACTGACCTTGTTTGAGGTGCTAAAATGTATTGTTGAGATAGTAAAAAGACAACATTGCACCTCACGACTGGATGGATGGATAGATGTACCGATTGCTGCCATATAAATGAGTAAATAATTATACAAGGTAGGTTTAGCCTATTGTTATTGTTTACAGCAATCTAATGTGCTGATTAATAAATGATTCACACAGCCCCTCGCTGTGCAAACAGGATTTGCAGTACTATATACAGTGATACCTCAGTTCAAGAACTTAATTCGTTCCACGATTCTGGTCGCAAACCGAATTGGTCGTGAACTGAATCAAATTTCCCTATACGGTTCAATGTAAATAAGGTTAATCCGCTCTGACCCCTACAAACGTGGTCGCAAACCGATTTTGGTCGCGAACAGAATCAAATTTCCCATAAGGTTCAATGTAAATAAGGTTAATACGTTCTGAACCATATGTTAAAAAAAATTGTAACCACAAAAACATGAAGTACAGTACAGTACAGTATGAAGAGAGTGAACACTAACCTTTGCACTTTCTTTGGAGCCATGCTGGATTGAAGAATACTGTACAGTACTGTATGTGCTATAAAGCACACACAAAAGCTTCACAGCAAGTTTGCACAGGTCTGTTTGCGACCATGATCTCGACTAGAGGAAGCCATGACCACGTGTCAGAGCGGGGAATATGGCCGCGGTCGTGCTCGTCACCCGAATTGGAGTTCGCGAACGGAAGCAAAATTCTGCTGGACTTCCTGTTCGCGAACAGAAGCGTTCGTGAACCGAGGTATTACTGTGTTCAGTAGATTGAGCCCAGGAGCATAGGGAATTCCTATGCTTCTCAGCTCCATCTTGTGGCTATACAGTGCTCTGAATCATTTATATATTACCCCATGTATATAAAGGTGCCATAACATGACTTGCCACATAAATAGTGGCTTTGACGTGTAATAAAATGTAAATTGATGTAAAAGAGAAAGTATGTGTTATGGCTAAAAACAGAGTACTGCAGTTCCTTTATTTCATGTTAAAGTGACTGGTCCTTTTAGAGCAGAGAAGGTAAGGAGCATCTGCCTTGCACTTGCTCTCTTAACACCCTGTATACTTGTTGATGACAATCCCTGCATTACCTAGAGTGCAGCATATAGTGCCTGAGTGGCCAGTTACCAAGCCTAAATGCTGACATGGGGGCCAGGACATAGCAGCATGATCCTCAAACCATATTTGTATGAATTTTCTACTATACAGCAGCGCTAAACACATAGCATACACCTTATTAGAGCTATGTTACACATCTAATGATGTGTGCAACAAAACATTTTTTCCCAGAGTTAAGCTTTATGCAAAGTCCAGACACACACATAGCCAATTTATGAAGCTTGTAAATTTAGTAAGATGCCCGTCGAGAATGAATCATACCTACAAATAGAGACAAACTACTGAAAAAGTAGGAATGTGAACCAGGTTCCAAAAAAAGTGTGTATTGCAGAGCAGCAAATGATACAAAATTGTGCAGAATGGTTTGGGAAGCTTCTGGAAGCCCTTTGTGATGGGATGGTGAGGCTAAAGAAATATAGCCTGTGCCACTTTCTCCAAAAATTCTGCCGGAGATACTATTATAGAAGGGTAGGACCTGATGGCACTGGCAGTCAACATAAGGGTGCCCAGGCAAGAGTGGAAGCAGGTATAGAGCTGAAATAGCCTCTGGAGCATTCTTTGGTCCCTTTCTCAAAGAAGTCTTTTGGGAATTTGAACTGCCAATAATAGCACAATTCCAAATCTAACATCATCTGAATTTTAGGTTCAACTCTGCCTGCAAATATGTGCACTGATCCATACAGACATAGTAGCATAGCAAATAAGCCAATGCAAGTAGATCACTAAAAATTGTAAACCAATCAAAATGGCAAAATTAGCAGAATGTGATATTTTCTCAAAAAAGTGTCTTAAAAGGGTATTCTAAAATGTTTTGGATAGAGTGCTGAGGGATTTGTTAATCCCTGTATGATTTTTACTGTTGATGTCCCTGCTGGGGAGAATTTACATTATACAGTACATTTGTCCTATTCACCACTGCCACAAGGACAGAAAGTGAGTAAAAATACAAAACTTTGGGGTCTATTCACGAAGCTGCCGAAGGATCTGGCCGTAGCTTCGGCCGATCCTTCGGCTAGCTTCGGCCCCAGCAAAGTCACCAGAACAGGGATTGATGGAAAATCTTCAAATAAAGACAGTTTTTCTAGGGGCAACTAAGAGGATATTTACCTCACTTTGGAGAGTGTACACTTGCTTTCTATTCTACAGGATAGGAAGTGAAGGGAAGTGTACCCAGTAGAGCACAAATGTAAAAAAAAAGTCAACAGGGATTTTAAAAACTCTGTCCAAAATGAAAAAAGAAAAAACATTTTAATTTGACCCTGTATAATTGCCCTGCAAAGCAAAATAATTGGCACGAATTGATTGTAAGTTGGCACTCTCCCGTGCCACATTTTACCATACCAGAGCCTGCCCTGCTCCTTGATGCACTGCTGCAGCACCTCAAAAGCCCTGCATGAATATTAGCTTTTTATGAGTCAGTTTGGACAGCGGGCTATGCATGCCACACCCCCATTACTACGGCCCTGCTTGAACCAAGTGATACTGTAAGTCACCTGCAACTTATCACTTGGTTGATTGTGAATTCAAATTCTGTCTAAAGCAGTGGTTCTCAACCTGTGTAATCTCAGGTCCCACATTTGTCCTTGGTCTGTAAGTCACGACCCATGTTTTGAGGATTGGTTGGTTCGTGGCTATTCGTTTTTATGTGAATGGAATTAGTTTTTTGGGGATCTACTGTATGTAAGTGTCTTTAATTGTTTTAATAAAAAGACCTATCTTTGCAAACTACACCATATGCTTGATATCTTCTCTTGGAAACGGGATTTCTCTCGTGAGCGGCATTGTCCGGAAGCATTCTGTGAGGAGGATTAGTGAAGTGTCATGAGCAACTATTCCATCGGAAACTGGAGGAGGAATATTCACCGTTATTACACTAGCTGACCATTGTTTTTACATGGTCATGGAAATCTGGTGAATGTGTTGGGTGTCTCACAGTCACCGGGAGTTTGGAGCACTACAGATACAAGGAGGACCTCTCAGCTTGTATTTTTATGCACATCAGCACTTTGGATTTATTAACACATGCAAGTTTGTGTATTTATTTGCAGTGTAGAAGTCATTTTAGGAGATATATGTATCAACACTATTAGCCTTATGGCATTTGATGTAATTTAGCACTTTTAATATGTAAAATGTTCACTATTTATGCATTTATGTTACACATTGTGGTTAGCATATTTCCACTGGCTGCTCAGAGCAAGAACCGACAGTGCTGTGCTAGGGGGAAGCTAAGGAACTTCTTACCTAGCGTAGTGGAAGGCATGTGGTGACCCACTGAACACGGAGTTGTGATCCACTTTTGGGTCGCGACCCACCAGTTGAGAACCACTGGTCTACAGAAAGGATGGACGCATGTGTAATACCATAAGAGAACCATTTACATTAGAGCTGTACTTCTCAAGAACAAGTGATTGGCTCACATTTGATGCCAGCATTGCCTACAGGTCTAAGTTTTTTGATGATCAATATAGATTTTAATGGTAATAAGTCCCCAATTAATTGCATAAAAACATTTACCTGTTTTAAGTCGAAGACAAATATATCTGTTTTTTTTTCTAATCACATGTGCCATTATTTAGCTAGACTAGAGGCGATAGCTGTTGATATTAGTTTATCTGTTTATAGGGATCATTGTGTACTAGAGGAAGCAATGCTCAAATCAGGTCGTCATTATTACTCATAATTGTATTAGATAGAAATATTTATATATATTGTTACCTTTATTTAAAAATAGAAAAAGCAAGGTTTACCAGTCCATGCAAAACAGTCAAAAATCTGCATCCGTTACACTTGTCTTTCCTACTAAATACAGGCTTATAGTCAAACCCTTTACCGAAGGGTGTCTTTTCTAATGTAAATATGTGTGGATCTCAAGATGATGTTAGATAAGTTTGAACATATAACCTTGAAAGAAAAACTCCAGGCAAAATAAAACTTAACCTGTGCAGTGGGGCTACTCCTGCACTGCAAGGGTTAAGTGTTCATTTTGGTCTAGGGTCTAATAATTGTTCCTTTTGGTTTAGGGTCTAAAATAACAAATACATACTCATCTGATCCTTGGCCCCTCCAACCTGCTAGATTCGTACCTACACCCTCTCTGCACCTCTGCACCGGCGGTCTAAGAACCGGTGAGTCATCCAATACAGTGTAATAGACTTGAGGATGAAGAGGGACACTCCACTGCAGGAGCGGAGGGGAAGAGAGGCTGCCGGGACCGGTCTAGCAGCCAGGTGGGACCGAGGTTCAGGCGAGTATCTTTGTTATTTTAGACCAAAACGAACACTCAACCCTTGCACTGCGGGGATAGCTCCATTGCAAGGGTTAAGTGTTATTCTGCCTGGAGTTCTTCTTCAAAAATGTACAGATCAAGCCTGTGTATTCGCCATTATAAATATTTCTGTGCACTTTTTTATGTTTAGTACATGTACCTTGAGTGAATGTAATTTTTCTTATTACATAAACTGTGGGAATAACCTATTTTCAGTTAATAAATATTTGATAGATGATAAATTACAGAATAAGGACTTTTGGTAGTCTTCCTTCTTTCAACTTCATTTAATGTAATAAGCACATTCCCATTCTTCATTGTCTGTGTGCAGGAGATAGTTATGATCCCTAAACTATTTCATCTCAAAGACTCTTGAAATTAGGGTGGAAAGTATGTTATTCTTGAGTTGCCTGCATGTGACAAGTAAACACGT